AGGGAACCGCTGGGAACAGGGCCCACTCCGCGGGCTGGCTCCACTTTCCGCGTTGAGGCCCAGCTCTTGAGTATCATGGGAAGGGTCACCAGGAGGCTAAGTTTCTGGCCTGTGTTAGTGTCTTCTGCAATTTTCGTCAGACCCCAATCTTAGTTATGGTCACTGACAATGCATATTTGACCCCAGTGGGCTTGGGATGCCACTCCAGGTCCTCTAAGGGCCAAAAAAGCTAAAAAATTCCAAAACCAAATGGAGGGACTGAGGCAAGCTACTTGCCCGCAGGAGTCAGACCAAACCCTCAATCCCAGCCCCAATCAGGTTTAGCGCTCAGGGGTATGAGCTCTTCTCACTGATCCGCTCCCCACCTGTGGAGGGTCTTTGGCCAGGGTTGTTTGTTTTGAGACAGGAACTCACGAGCTAGCTCAGGCTGGCCTTGAACTTCTGCCTCAGCCTCCTAAATGCTGGGATTACAGGCGTGCACCACCAAATTCAGCCATCCCATGGAGTTTATCTTGTCTTTTTTTCTGGTGATTGAAGCAAGAGGGTTGCTGCAAGTTCAAGGCCAGTCTGAACTACATAGTGAGGCCCTGTCTCAAAAAATAATCAAATAAAAAATTGATCCTGCTGCTAATCTTGGATGTCCGGCTCAATTCTTTAAAGACTTCAATCTGGACAAGACCTCTATCCCAGTAACAGAATGAAAACTATAAAAACACTGGTAAAAGAAATTGAAGGTGACACAAATAATGAGATTCTTGTGTTCAAAGACAGAAGAATGTCATTAAGATGTCTGTAGTACCCCAAATAATCTGCAGACTGAGGAAACCCTGTGAAAATTCTCACGATGGTCAGGTGTGGTGCACAACTGTAACCCCAGCACTGCAAGGCAAGAGGACTGCAAATTTGAGTCCCACCTCTTCAAATTAGCAAGATCCTGTCTCAAAAATTTTAAATAAAAATAAGAAGGGCTGAGGTGTGGCTCAGGGAGAGGCCTCTGTTTCAATGCCCAGTATCTTCAAAAACAAAACAAAACTGGCATTTTTTCACAGAAATAGAAAAAAAAATTCCTTAAAATTCATTTGGAACCATAAAAGATCTCAAAACACCAGAGCACTGTTGAGTAAAAGTAACAAAGCTAGAAGCATACTACCTGATTTAAAAATTACTGTAAAGGGCTGGGGAGTTAGCTCAGGGGTAATGCTGCTTGCCTTATAAGTTGCAAGGTCCCAAGTTTGATCCCTGGTACAAAAAAAAAGAAAAAAACTGCCGTAAAGTAGTAACAAAACAGCATGGTATGGGCATAACAATATACTACGGAGAAAGAATTTCTTTAATAAATGACATTGGGAAAATGATACATGTGTTAGCTTTTACTGTAATATCTTAAATAATCAACTTGCAAAGAGGAAAGCTTTATTTTGACTCACGTTTTTTGCAGGTTTCAGTCCAGAGATGACAGGTTCCATCGTTTGGGGCTGTGAAGGGGCATGAGCAGGAGCAAAATCACTTACCTCATGATTGGGAGAAAAAGGAAAGAGCTGGGCTCGCCCTGGTGACACTGACAATCCCAGCACTTGGGAGGCTGAAGCAGGAGGATGGCCAGCCTGGGTTACGTGTTGAGATCTTGTCTCCAAAGGGGAGAGGGAGAGAGGGAACGAGAGTATTTGGAAACTATATATCTGATAAGGGGTTAATATACAAATGTAAACTAGCAAAAATAAAAAGCAAACAACTTGAATAGACATTTCTCCAAAACCAGAATGGCCAACAGGTATATGAAATGGTGTTCAGCATCACTAATCATTGGAAAAAGGCAAGTCAAACCAGAGTAAGTTCTCATCTCACACCTGTTAGAGTGACTGTTACCAAAGACACAAAATAACCAATGCTGGCGCAGGTGTGGGGAAGGGACCCTGTAGTGTTGGTGGAAACAGGATGGCGTTTCTAACCACAGGACCCAGCAGTCCTTCTAGGTATATGCCCAAAGGAAATAGTCGTTCTGACCCTGTAAAAATACCTGTACTCCTGTGCTCACTGCAGAATTATTCACAGCAGCTAAGATATGGAAACAAGCGAACTGTCCGTGGATGGATGGACAGACGGTGGCACATACACAAATGGTCATGTGGCGTGAGAAGAGGCGTCCGGCCACTTGGGACAGGACACCACGCTGAGAAGTAAGGCAGATAATCTCACAGGTGAAATGAAGAAAAAACTGCACACAGAAGTAGCACAACAATGGCTCTGAATGGTGAGGGGAAGGGGAAGATGTAGGTCAAAGAGCACAGAGTTGCAGTTCTGCAGGATCAATAAACCTCGGAAAGCTGCTGTACAACACAAGAACTACACACAACTGTGCACACACTGGTACTGCTGAGAGATTTTAGGGACTCTGACAATGACACACACACACAGACTATATGATGGTATCTGGTTTGCTTGACTAGTCACTTCCCCCTTCATATCAAGGTATCAAAGTATTATGTTGTATTAAAGATACTAAGAAAGAACCTAAGGGGATATGGGCCAGAGGTGTGGCTCAGCCCTGGAGCACATGCTTAGCACGTGTGAAGCTCTGAGTTCTATCTACAGCACAAAAAAAGGAAACAAAAAGCAAGACAGTAGATGTATATATGTATACATGAACAAAAGGGAAAAGTAAAAATTATTTGGTGAGGCAAAATTTATTATTGATGTAAATTCTTAATACAGGGTTAATTTCTGATTAAAAAAAACATAGATCAAACACCAGACATATTCTTTAGGGACTGACAAGCATGTTTACTCTGATTTAAGGTCTGGATGTACCAGCTGAGTTACACAGGAGTTAGAAAAGGGTTCAAAACTTCAGGCGTCAAGATTAGTATTTTCAGATATATCAAGAGAAACAAGTAAAAGCTAGTTGATAATTCAACAAGATTGCTGGAATCAGTAACTTTCCTATAGGCAATGTGTTAGAAGGAAAATACTACATTTATGATGAGGCAAATCTTTTGTGTACAACAAAAATTATGGCAATAAAAATTTGAACGCTTACCTGAGATCCTCATCTGAACAAATGGGAAGACATAAGGCTGTATTTTTGGAAAGAAGTCTCTGTACTGTTTGGTCTCCTTTAGTCTCTTTAATTTGATTTCAATAAATGTACCAGCCTCTGCCTAGGAACCAAACTAAATTTAAGGTTTAGATTGGAAAAATATATCCAAAAGATCCAGGAAAAGTTCTGAAAGTAATGATAGACATTCCACTTCTACTTTGCAGTTATGAAAATATAAATGTTCAGGTACAGCAATGAAGATCTGCAGTAGGCACATGAAAATTAAGTCCTAAGACACAAAGAAGTCAAAAGTCATTACTGATCTGGTGGCATTTCCAGTGACGGGAACAGACTAAACTGATACTCAGATCATATAACTGTCAAGCACAAAAAGGACTGAGGTGTTGTTAACAAGGCAAAAAGACAGACTGGGAGAAAAATTTGCAATCTCCAGTTGCAAAAGTTTATTTCCTAAGTACTAGCACTCTTAAAAGATAAGCATAGAATACAAATGGTTAACGTTGAAAATACACAAACTTCCCGATAAATGCAAATATAAACTGCAGGGAAAACACTTTTCTCATTACTTTAGCAAGGGGGCAGGCTAAGGCAGGACTGCTTGAGCCCAGGAGTTTGAGGCCAGCAGAGGAGATGCCAAGATGCTGTGGTCAAAAATCTATTAGCACAGGTGTGAGAAAACTGGCATCCTTAGTGTGGTGACTGGAAGTGTGTATCCAGTAATAGCAAAGTGCTCCTATCTTTTCGCCTGCACTTCTATTCTAGACTCACAAATCCCCAAAGATGCATACATTCATTACAGTTGTTATTACTACTGGTGGTGGCAGGAGACTAGAAATGATTTACTACTCCCTGGGAAATACTTAATTGAAATACAGCTACAAAGTGGAATACGCTATAGCTATTATCAGATAAAGATAAGAGTTCATGGGCTGGGGATTTAGCTCAGTGGTTCTGCCACCTGCCTTGCTTGCAAGGACCTGAATTTGATCCCTGGTACCAAAAAAATAAGATAATAGTTCAGTAAAAACCTAAGTTTCAGATGTCTTCACAATATACTCTCATTTAAAAATGTGGGGTGATATAAACATACACATGCTAGTATAACAGAATATTTTGGAAAAATATATGGAAAGTAGTTGATTCTAGGGAAAGAGGTAGGTTTAGGTTGGGGAGGTCAGGGAAGACAGGGAGGTTTAAACATTTAAATTTTTTAGATTAAAAAAATAGAAATTAAGCCCGGCGTGGTGGCGCATGCCTGTAATCCCAGCACTCGGGAGGCTGAGGCAGGAGGATTGCTGTGAGTTCAAGACCAGCCTGGGTCATACAGTGAGTTCCAGGTCAGTCTTAACTACATAGTGAGACCCTGTCTCAAAAAACCAAAAAAAAAAAAAAAAAACTTCATCCAAAAGAAAATAGACTGGTGATGTAGCTTAGTGGCACAGTGCCTGAGTGGCAAGTGTGATCGTGAGTTTAATCCCTGGTACTAAAAACAAAACAAAACAAAAACCCCAAAGAAAATATAATTGGAGTTTGTGCTTCTTTTAATATTTATATATTATGAACCCCCCCCCCAGTAAATGGTCAAACACTGAAGAAAACTAACCAATGTTATGAATTCAGAACCAAGCCAGTCCGCTATCTCTGAAGTAGTGAAAATTAGAGTATATAAACTTGAAAATGTTTTTTCAATCCTAGTGGTTTTAACGAATATTTAGTAATGTGAGCAGAATTTATACAATTAACCCTCATAACTCCAAACTTTCTGCTTAAAAGAAAATGGGGAAAATCACTTACCAACTCTTCCTAGAAATGTTGGAAGGAAAAATTCATTTGATAAATGAAATGGCATAAGCTTTTAAAAAAGCAGTAAGTCCATTTATTTTCACAAGTAGCTTTATTTAGCTTTTAGAAAAATATATACAATAATCAGAACTTTGGTTCTGTTAAATAGTTTTAAATTAAAACATACTAGAGTATTGGAGAGAGAGGACACAGTCAGGACAGCAACGCTGCTTACTAAAGTAGGAAATAGGGATTTCTGCAGCAAGTCCAAGTCACTTACAGTAATGATAAACACTGAGCAGGAGAGCTTCTGGCTGGCAGGTCTGCCAGCTCTCAACACCGAGGAGAGGAAGGGGTTTGACGTCTTTCAGTCTGAACTTGAGAAAGGAAATTAAAGATTGACATCGTTTACCCTCAGGGCTGCATCTCTGAGTAAAGCTTTTCAAGGTGGCTGGTGGAGGCCCCTGGGGACCACACCCACAGGCTTTGATCCAGCCGAGTCGCTCGGTTAGAGTGGGGAACACCAGAATCTGTCAGTCACAGCCCAACGCCAGCAGATGTAACAAAACTGAAGAGTATTTAATGCCATCTACTTTGGATTAGACTCCTGCTTTCTCTCAAACATTCCTCCAAATGAATTCACAGTTACCAGCAGTGTTTGCAAACGATCTTGGCGCAGCCCCCTCACTTCTATAGCTCCGAGAAGCTGAGCAAGGAGGCCATGGGAACCGCCTCGGCTCTGTTCTAACGCTGCCCTTTTCCCCCATGTCCTGGGTCTGGATCTCCCTCCAGTTCTGGGGCTTTTCCAGCAACTGCAGTCTCACCCGCGCCAGCCAGAGGCCAGTGTGTCATGGCGTTTCCTGGGGAGTTTTAAAGGAAGTGTGCAACAAACAGGTAGCTTTCCTTGCTCTCTGCATTTGCTAAATAAGCAAAGTGATGAGGCAAAGGCCGCGAGCAACAGCTGGCTTTGGAGTCTACAACAACTGTCGGATCGGGAGAAGGGACGGCGGGAAATAGGGCATCGGCAGCGGAGCTGGAGGTTCAATCAGGAACGAGAGGAGAGGGATGAGAGGACAGAGATCGGTATCTCGCTCTCTGCTCCTCTATTTCCTGCTTAGTTTTATTGATACAACTAAAGATCTCCTTAAACAATGCCTTGTACTCTGGGGTCGCCGCCTCGGTAGGAGAGCAGGGGCGCTCGGCGGCGACACAGCAAGGTTCCCAGCCGTGGGCGCCGGCCCCGGTCGGGTCCCTAGCGGGAGCCCTGGCGGTCTGCACGGCCTTGTGCGACAGGGAGCCCTGCTCCTGCTGGCACTTCTTCAGCAGCTCTTCGTACTTCACCTTCAGAGCACTGTACTGCGTGTCCACCTCGTGCAGGAGGGAGACGCCCCGCTGCTTCACGGCCCTGGCCCTCCTGATGCAGGTCTCCTCGTGGCCCTTCACGATGTCACCTCCCGCCAGACTGCTGAGGACCGTGTCACTGCTGCTGCGCTTCAGAGGCTTTCTGTACGCCTCGGACACAGTCAGGAACATCTCCTCCAGCAGGCTCTGGCTGGGCTCTTTGAAAGGAACTAACAGCGGGTCCGGCACCAGCTTCTCCACCCCGTTCGGAAACGGGTGCTCGGCCTGCAGTGCACGCCGCATCTCTACCACCTTGGCCTCCAACTCCAGCGCCCGTGCCCGGTAGGCATCGCCGGCTCTCAGCTGCTGCTCCAGCTCGCTGTTCTCCTTCAGCACGAGCCCGTACTCCTCCTCCATGGTCAGGCGCTTCTGGCGCTCCAGGCTCAGCTGGGCCTGCAGCGTCGTCACTGTCTTCTTCAGGTGCTCGTTTTCCTCTTCTTCGGGACTCTGCTGGCTGTGCAAGGAAGTGATCTTCTCGGCAAACACATGGTCATACACGAAATGTCTGGGGAAAATGTTGGAAAAAAACGCACAGATCAACTGAGAAAGCAAAGAAGTGTGTGTGTGTAACTCAATCTTTCAGAGGAGCTGTGACAATGACTCAAAGTTTTAGCCTATTCCATACCAGTACTAGGCCAGTGGCTAAAATGAAACTGCGTGAGACTGGGAAATGAACACATGAAACAAAACAAGTTTTGTGACTAATTGTTTTTTTAAACATTAAGAATATTATAGAACATGTACCAGCAGTATGACACTTGCCTCACTGGGAAATACAGCGACCCAGGTTTCTCGGCTCTGGCTGCAGGTCAGAATCACCCAGTTAAAACCCATCTGAGTGGACCTGGGATGTAGCTCAGCGGCACCGTGCCTGCCTGGCAAGTGTGAAGTCCTCAGTTTGATTCCCAGTACCAAAAGACAAAACTAAACAAAAACTACAGGGCTGGACATTTAGCTCAGTGGTTCTGGTGCCTGCCTTGCAAGTGCAAGGACCACTGTTCGATCCCCAGTACCAAAACCCACAGAACGCGGGCTCTTACTGGCGGAGGTCGTACAGCTCTTTCAGACAGGAGAAACTGGGTGCTGGTTTCTCAAGCTCACACTTCCTCTGTCTCTTCCCTGAGCCAGACGACTTCAGTTCCTCCACTTGGCCTTGGAGGTGGTCAATGTTGTTCTGCAGACATTCGATTGTTTCTGTCAGGCTGTGGGGAACAGAGAGAAGAGGGACAGTTGCTGCTTGTCATATTAAATTAAGGGCAAAAATAGGAAGAGATTAGTCTCAAGCCACTCCAACTGGGCTTTCTCAATTGGAAAGGATTTATATTTAATCTCCTTTCTCCAAGAAGAATTAAACTAAACCTTACTCCATGGTAACCCAAACTTTCTACCGCTACGTTCTATTCCAAATTATACTAAATCCCTCCCCTAGGGTTCAATAGATTCTAGATCTTTTACCTCAGAATTTTTTGCTGTGAGGCCTTGCTGTCAGCAACTAGCTTTTGATTTGTTTCTTCCAGTTCTCTTGCTGTGACATCTAGTTGCTCATAAACTTTTGCGTGCTGTTCATTCATTTGCCGTAGAAGCTCCACCTGCTTGGTCAGATACTGTGAGAGAAGACAGTCGAGACCAGGTGACAAAAGCAGACAAGATACGTTATTTCAACACGAATTCCCTGGCTTCCCAATGTCTTAGTTACTTTTCTCATGGCTGAGACAAAATGCTTGACACCTAAAGCTAAGCAGGAGAGGTTTATTTGGCTCAGTCTATAGGTTTCAGTCCGCGGCAGAGGGGCATTGCAGAGGAGAAACGCAAGTGACCTAGGGACCTCAGCAGCTTTTTTCTGCCCCTTTAATATTCTGTCTGGGCTCCTGGGATCCAAGCAGGGCCAGTCAGTGGACTGACTTAGGAATCGCCCACCCTTAATCCCTAACAGGAGCCAACCACACGCTCTAGACTCACCCGCCTCTGGAACAGCTGTGCCTAGGACTGCATGAGGCTCTGATCTGAGGAGACAGCCAGACACAGCCGTAACACCCCAAACCAACCAGGACGGGGTGAGGGCTGCCACACTCCCAGCACAGTAACGTGCTCACCAACACGTCGGCAGTCTTGCTCTAGAGTTTTCCCAACGAACGTCAGGACGTGGAACGATCAGCTCTGCTGCTGCCCACTGGTGGCCGATCACAGTCTCAGCCCTGCCTCCCTCCTCAGTCCCACTCTGTCACTCAGGGAACCCCAAAGGTTTTAGGGAACCAGGGGCAGAGACCAAATGTTTATCTTATGAAAAGAAATTTTAAGTTCCAATAAAACTACGTAGGAGGAAATAAGCCATCCTTTATATACTTAGCTACCCTAGTGCTTAGCACTGTTCCTTGGAACGATAAGGCTGGTCTAATTTTACAAAGCACACAATATACATAAAATTAATATTCAAGAGCAAAACTGAAAGGGAGACAATGATAATCTCTGAAAGGAAAAAGCTTGGAAAATACCACTGAAGTTTAAAACAACAAGAGCCAGGTGTGGTGGCACACACTTGTAATCCTGGCCCTTGGGAGGCTGAGGCAGGAGGATTGCCACTAGTTTAAAGTCAGCCTGGGCTGCAGAGTTCAAGGCCAGCCTGAACTGCATAGTGAGACTATGCCTCAAACAAAACAGAAAATAATTATGTTTAATAGGAAGAAGGAAGCCTAAGGTATGGTGTTTTTTTGTTTGTTTGCTGCGGGGGGGCGGACAAGGTCTCACTATGTAGCCCAGGCCGGCCAGGAACACGTGGAGATCCTCCTGCCTCAGCCTCCTGAGTGCTGGGATTACAGATGTGTGTCACTACGCCTGGCTGATTTTTCACTTGGAAAAATCACCCCCTCCCCTTTTTGCCTTTGAGTGAAATATAAATATGCCGGACAAAAAGCAGTAAAACATAGCTATCATCCAAGATATTTAAGTGTAGTACACTTCTAAGACTGCTGTTATTAAACTTGCCAGACTATTTTGGTCTTGCTAAGACTACTTTGTAAATGCCCGAGGATAAAGAAGAATAATCAGTCTGAATGCCACAGTGTTCGGTCACCTTCACTCTCGCCGCTACTCAAGTCTACCTGAAGATACTAACACACATACGTATCCCAAACACAAGATTCACGTCTCTGGACGCAATCAGAAAGAGGGAAAAAGAAAGGGCTGAAGCATTTCTGATGATCAAGAGGTAGCATAGTGAGAACCCCACACTGAAGCACTCTTCCGAGTCCACACTGTCCAAGTACCGCAGGGCCAACAGACATCTTTCAAAGGCACGGGCTAGATGATACTTGATCGGCTCTTGAAGGTGTTGACTCACATATGGCCTTTTCCACATCTAGTTCAACTAAACTGGTAGCAATGGGTTGCATGAACAATTAGTCTCTGACACTCTTGGGGTGAAAAAATGTTAGGAAATTCTTGGAATTTCAGAAAAACAATGTTCAAACCTTATACTTCCTAACACCCTCTGTGAGGTCTGGGCAGGAGTCAGTAATCAGGCATTTATACTTCTGCTTCAGAAAGTATGAAGATTATAAAGGGCATCAGATCAATGCAGGCCACAGTTTGCCTCCAAACTAATTTGCTATAAACTTAAGTCTTGGTTCACATCTTCTTGGGTCCAGAACTGATCACAGAGGCTGCAGATCTCAGTGGTCCCGGAGAGCCGCGTTCACTCTTTCTGCCTTAAACCCCCTGGTTTCTCTCCGTCCCTTGGAAATCAATATCAGTTCTCACGGGGAAGCCTTTCTGACAACTTCCTTTGTCTGACGACTTAAGAATTTACTGTTCTTAATAAGATGAAACTCAAAGCCATCTCTTACTAATTTGGGTATCTACCTCCCTTGTACGTACACACATGAAAAAATACGTTAATAAACATATTAGTCACTTTCCTTGTCCCCTGGGACAAAGTACCAGATGCAACTTAAAGGAAAAGAGTTCTATTTAAGCTCATGGTTCCAGTGGGTTCAGTCCAAAGTTGGTTGATGTCAGACATGGTGGCAAATGCTACAATCCCTGCACTCAGGAGGTTGAGGGAGAAAAGCTGGCCACAAGTTCAAGGATGTTGAAAGCCAGCCGTAACTACACAACAAGACCTTGTCTCAAAAAACAAAGCTGGCTGTATCCAAGGCAGAGATGGCCCGGTGCAGGGGCAAGGCAGAGGAGAGCCAGGAAACAGAAGGGAAGCGGGGAGCCAAGGACAGGAATGCATCTTTCCAGGTCAAGTCCTCGGCAACCCACCTCCACCCAGGCTCCACCCCCTAACTGCACATGCACCGGGGAACTCAGCGGGTGCCATAGCCCAGTCACCCTCTGAAAGCCCCACCTCCAAATACAGGAGACTGGAGGGACATTTCAGATCTAATCCATAACCATAAATGCCCCAGTTTCTCCTCTTGTTAAACTTTTGTTACAGGGGTCCACTCCAACCAAGGGCTCATGATGGCTGAGGAAAATTTTATTTTTTCTCCTCTGTATGTGAAAATATACATAAAGGTATAAAGGAATTTACATAAACAGTGATATATTTAGAGTCCAGGATGATATGTGATATATATAAAATCACTCCTAAGAGGTGGCTACTGTCATCTTTATTTAGAATGACAGTTTTCAAGCGTTACAAGTGTGCTGAGATTTACCCGGAAGACTTCACAGGGTGGGACCTGGGTCCTCATGCTTCACAAATGCCGACTCAGCAAGAAGTGGCATAAAGCCAAGATTCTGCAATTTTATCAAAAAACTCAGACAATCTTAGCATCAGCAGACATGGATCCCACTTAGGAGAGAGGGTCTGACCTTTTTGCCGTGCTGGGGACGGGACCCAGGACCTCTCAAATGCTAGGCAAGCACTACCACTCACCACTTCCTGGCCCCAAACTCTTACCCTTACTGCTTACCATTTTCTGTCTTAGGTCTTTGCTTGGTTGCAGTTATTCACTATATTTTAACTGTATCACAACAGTATTTTCTGTCATAACATTATGTTTTACTATATTCTTAACAATCTTTAATTCCCTGAAATTACAAACTGGTTACCTTACTTTTGACTGCTCCCCCTCAGGGCACCACTCACCTTACACACATTTAAAGCAAACCCAAGCTGGGGATTTAGCTCAGCGGAGCTGCTGTCTGCCTTGCAAGTGCAAGGACCCGAGTTTGATCCTGGTACAAAAACTACCAAAAAAATCAAACAACAACAACAATAAAAACAATAAAGCAAACCCAAGCCATCTTAGTTCAAGTGCACATCTCTATCCCACTCCCTCCCCCTTCAGTATGGAGCACCGAACCCCTGGGCTTGCACACACTAGGCAGGCATTCTATCCTGGGCTACATCCCCAGCCCTTTTTACACTATATTTTGAGGCAGTCTCATCAAGTAGCTCAGGCTGGCTTTAACCTGTGAGCCTCCTGCCTAAGTTTCCCAAGTAGTTGGGATTACAGGCCTGCAACACACCATGCCTGGCCTATCTCTGTATGTTTTTGAGGTAAGACTTCATTTTAGCACAACCACAAGTCCTAAGGGATGAAAACATCTCCTTCCTATTTATGTTTCAGCATAACATTTTCCCAATTATCTCGTTGTTTTCCAGCTTCCCTCCTTTCACACTCAGGAGTAGCTTTACCTTAAACTTTTGGAGTTGGCCCACGTTAAGGCAAACCCCTTCCTCCTTTGATGCTTTTAATGTGCTCTCCCCTCTCCTAGGAGAGGCACTTCTGGCTGGCTCCACTTAACCCAGCTAGCTCTTCTTAGACCCAGGTCCTAGGACAGAATCGACTGGGTCTATGACCTTGGATGGGGAACACAAGTTACTTGGGTAGTTTTAATTGTAATTTGGCATTTTCTTCAATTACAAAGGGAACCGCCAGTTGTATTACAGGTATTTGTGACCATCACCAATAGAAATCACAGGCATTTTCACATCACATAGTAGTGGTTGCAGAAATCTTGATTTATTGCTTAGGATTATCACTATTTGAAAACATGGTAGTTTTTGTTTTGCTTGTTTTTGAGACAGGGTCTCACTATGTAGTTCAGGCTGGCCTTGAACTCACTATGTAACCCAGGCCGACTTCAAACTCACAGTGATCCTCCTGCTGGGATGACAGGCGTGTGACACCAAGCTTAGCCTTTGTTTTGTTTGTCGAGCCAGGGTCTTGCTATGTAGTCCAGCCTAGCCTTGAACTCATGATCCTCCTGAGTGCTGGGATTTCAGGCACGTGCCACCATACCTGGCACAATTATGCTCGTTTTCAGATTTCCACTAGATCTTGTTATTTAATGAATTAATACATGCTTTTCAGTGTTTGGTAGCTATTTTAATATTACAGATTTCCTTTATAATTCAGTGTATTTTTAAAGAAATCATCAGAGGCTTAGAGCACAAAAAGTTCAGAATTTCAGTTACCCAGTAAGCCTCATTTCAAACAAGCCAGGTCCAAAGCAGCATTCTTCCCAAGTTCCCACATGATCTCTTGCTACACAAACTATTAATCAACTGAAGAATTTCATTGTTTTTCTTTTCTTTTCCCCTCCCGGTGTGCCCCCGACCAAAGGGAAGGGTCTTGTTCTATCTCTTCCAATCCTTCAACACAGCAGGGACTAACAAACCTGCAGGATGGCAATTTCTAGACCTTTATTCACAACACCTTACCGAGCTGGACACAACTCAGATGTGAAATACAAGGAGATGGAACTGAAAGATTCTGAGATGGGCTCTGGTTACAACCCTCTGGGGAAGCAAGCCTATCGGCCCCTACCTCTTGCCTCTCTTTCCCATGTACGGATCATTTCTCTGCTTATTTCCATGACACCGGCACCCCTCAGAAATCCAAAGTGAGGGCATTCACAATCCTGCCACCTACTATATGGGTCAAAAATTAATTGCCCTTTTCTTCTTGTTTTTATCTTTTTAGTTGTTCGTTTTTCTAAAGTTATAATATCAAGGGCCGGGGATTTAGCTCAATGGCACCGTGCCTGCCTTGCAAGCACAAGGGTCCTGAGTTCAATCCCTGGTACCAAAAAAACCAAAGATATAATGTCAAATTAGGACTGTGGCCAATATACAGCAAATAAGTCAATATGCCGATATGTACAGAGGCCATTTAAAAAAACTACCGCTAGTTTGCTTTGACATATAAAAACATGATTGATATATAACAACCTTGTTTGGTATATAAAAACACAATGGAACAGTTTAAGAACGTCATATTTTGGTCTTAAGAGGACTTGGCCCTGAGAATAATCTAAAGAATGACAAGGAGCTTATTTTCACATGGCTGGAGTTTAATCTTCTTCTTCTTTTTTTAAATATAAACTTTTATTTAGAATTAGAGCAAATACTTCAGTATCACAAATACATTAAACTTCAAGAAATATATGGCTAATTTGGAGTGGGCGTTTATTTGCACAATTATGACACGTGGACAAATGCAGAAGAGAGGACCGAGTCTGTGTCCCCCAGTGCAGCACACTGAGGGGACGGGGATGACCACCACCATGCGGGCTCCCTTGGCAGTCGGGGCCACTACTCCTCCTCACCAGCAGACTCTCTCTCCAACATGTAGGCCATGAAGCAAGCATCGGGTCTCTTGGGGACAAGGGGATGCCCTGGTCTCACAATCTCAAAGCCCAAAAAGCTGAAGGTCCGGAGCAGGGCAGCTCTGCCTTCCCGGTTCTTATGGAAGCAAATGAAGACATGGTCCGCATGGAGCTGCTCCTCTGCAAACTCAAGGAGAACTGCGAAACTGTCCTTGCTCCCCTCAGGCAGGGGGCCGCCTGGGATCTCAAGGTAGAGGCTGCTGCCGCTCCACACGGCTCTCCAGGTAATGTGTTTGGCATCCGTGAGCCTGGACTGGACATTTAGAATCCTCCTCTTGTTATTAGATGTTAGTTCCTCTGTTATACTCAGCTGATTATCAGAGTAGAATGAGTTAGCTGAAAGACTGTGATCCCCTGACTATTCCCTCGCCCACCTCGGATCTTCAGGGGTGGGTGAGGGACATCAGGAGCACCACCGAGGCCCTGGACCCAGGTTACTACAGCAACTGATGGAGACCCTGGGACTCTCGCTGCTGCGGCCGCCGCGGCTGTGCAGATTAAGAAGTGGCATGGTGTGGCTGGCGTGAATGGTGGCACTAAGTTTATCCCCTTCCTTCTCTCTGGTGAAGCAGTGGCTATTGAGGATCTGCTGCAGGGAGGATTTCACCATCACCATCCGGCCACTGGGGTCCAAAACCAGGAAAACCTCCGCTGCGCCTCTCCGCGCTGCCGCTGCTGCCACTGCTGCTGTCGCCGCCGCTCACCGTTCGCCTGGAGTTTAATCTTACATCAAAATTAATCAGAAAGGCCTTTTACCTCTCTGAATTCAGTTCCAATCACCTGTATAGGAGCGTAACTAATGTGATCAGCAACTTAGAAAGAAAAATCAGACCTCTGAGCAAGCGCTGACACAGAGCAGACACCAAACTCTGGAGTCTGACGCTCTGCTCTCAGGCCTGACCTCTGGCCTCTGAACTACACTTACCCACTTTCTGAATGCAGAAGGAAATGTGTTAGCATATTTCCTATCATTCACCTCAAGATACGGACATGTTTCTTGCGTTCTGATTTTTCTCAATGCAGAATCTTTGATACAAAGACAAATGAATTTGACAATCATGTGAAATGGAGAAAAGTCTGTTCGTACAAAACAGTGGAGGGAGGAGGACGGAGGATGGCAGACGTGGGTAAAACTTCAGTTACTGTGACAGTATCAAAGTCTGAGCACCTCTAGAACTTTGCACAGAATGTCACCTGAGTACAAGATCCCGACTACCACAAAGGCTATAAAATGGGCCACCGATATGACTGAGGAAAACTAAGGAAAAGAAAGGCCAGCAGGATTACTGAAAACCTATGTGAGATTGTGGGACTATAACCTGGAGGGCAGGAACAGATACACACAACCCATATACAACAGGAGCAGAGGGGAAACTGGCTTCCCAGCAGCGCTGAGCTTATCCTGAGGTCAGGGAGTACAGGGCAGGTCCTCTGAACTTAAAACAATGAAAATAACCTTTTAGTATTACGTTTGTTTTTTTTTTTTTTTTTTTTTTTTTTTTTGGTACCAGGGTTCCAACTCAGGACCTTGCTTGTAAGGCAGGCAGTGGCACGACTGAGCTAAATCCTCAGCCCATACTATTACCTTTGAAAAATCCCTTTCCCTTGATGAAAGTAATGTATTTCCCTTAATAGGAAATCTGGAGAGTAGGAAAGTGTAACTATAAAAAAAAAAAAGCCATCTATAATCCAACTATTAAAAGCTTGGCATACATTTAAGACCTAATCTACAGTATTTCAAGAGGGTTTATTTTTTCAGAATGATTCTTTTACTATAAAAATTCTGAGGACATGGGCAAATAAACTACATACTGTCCAATATGTATCATTTCCTTAATTTCCTCCCCTTCCAACAACCCCTTATCACCTCACAAGGGCACAGGATCTGAGAGGCAATTTTCCTGCTCAAATCCTCTAGTTATTTGCAAATAAAATTTAAGGCCTATACCTGAATCTCTTAACATGTCAGCCAGAGCGTCTCGCCTCCTTTAAAATATCCACAGGTGGAAAGCCAGAATTTAGGAATTACTGGAAGAGCTTTGTAAACCATTTCTTCTCTGTTAAGATATTTCAACAAGTGTGTGGAAAAGATCATAAACACAGCAAAGGTCCTCAATACTGCAGTGAGAAATGGTGTATGGGGATGGAATAAAACAAAACGAGAAGTAAGTGTAAGAGCCAAGAGTGTAGAGTACTGGCCTAGTATGTACGAGGTCCTGGGTTAATCCCCAGCATCTCGAAAAGGAGGAAACACAACACACACACACACACACACACATGAGTATCGATAGATGTTGTAAAAGAAGCAGAAAATGCTTTAAATTCCAAGGAAGGCATGAACTCTTGCAAATCAGGATGCCTTGCAGGCTAAACTAGTTTGAGAGGTCAGCAAAACTGCTGTGGAGACAGTGCAGGTGTCCAAGAAGAAAGCACAGACACAAGGCTGCAGGCTGCTTAAATGACTGTAGGAAAGATGGGTTCATCCCTCATTACAACCCACAGTCCCTCTCTTCCCCTCCCCACCCACTCTGGACCAAAAACACTTGCTCTGGAGTATAAAAAAAATTAGTTCTTCAAACTAGCAATGAATAAAAGGCTATAGGATTCTGTAAGCCAGTGGAACCATTACTTTCAGTAGCTTAGTTTTTGTAACATGAAAAACAATGTCTATCAAAAGCACTGATCAGTTTTTACGAAGACTGACTGAAACCCACTAACAGTCTCTGAAAGAATACTCGTGGTAGGGGCTGGGGATTTAGCTCAGTGGTTCAGCTTCTGCTTTGCAATTGCCAAGGTCCTGAGAGTTTGATCTCTGGTACCAAAAAAAAAAAAAAAAAAAAAAAGGGAATACTTGTAGTATTACAAAACAGCATTTGGGAGTTTTCTAGCTGTCTACTTCCATAAATCAGAGTTTGGGGAATTTTATTCTGGTATTTCTGCCAGTTCTGTGCTATTCTTTGTCCACTGACTAGTCTGTTCCTGAACCTTTTTAAACACTATCTCATTTTCAATTGCTCTAGGTCATGTGGAAAGAGTTGACTTTTTGATTTTTAACTGTTATTTTTCTAAATTTAAAAAAGATGACACACTACTTTTTTTTTTTTTTTTTTTTTGGTACCAGTGATTGAACTTGGGACCTTGTGCTTGTGAGGCAGCCAGCGGCACCACTGAACTAAATTCCCAGCCCAACATATTGCTTTTCTAAGGAGGGAAACTGCCAATAAACATTCTAAAAAGTTAGTTTAGGGGTATGCAGGGGGTCCAGCTCAGTGGTAGCATGCACAAGGCCCTGGGTTCAATCCCCAGCACAAATAAAATAACATAATATATAAAATAAAATGTTAGTTAAAAACTTGTACAAGTGATTCCATTCATGTAACGGTCAAAAACACATCAACATACTGTAGAGTGTCACTATCAGAATGCTGGTGACTGGATGGATGGGCTGATAATGTTTTTATCTGGGTGCTGGCTGCATGGAAAGTCATCAAACTACATACACTTAGGTTTGTGCTCTATTCTGTCTGTACACTTTAATAAAAAGTTGTTAAGCAAATAGAAAAAAAAGGACAAGTATAAACTAAGAAAAGAGCCCTCATAAAGCTTATGGGGGTTCCTAGAGGTTGCAATAACAAGAGGTACATAATCAAAGATCATCTTTCAGTAGGGTGTTGGGCTGTTTGGCTGCCTGGTTACTTTGACACAAGCATTTGTTGTAGACTGGATAGACTTTTTCTTTTTTTTTCTTTTGGTACTGGGGATCGAACCACTGAACTAAATCCCCGGCCCTGGACAGACTTCAAAAGTCTACACTGCGGTTTGTAACTCTGCCCAGGCATAGATGTGAACAAGCAGGCAGTAAAGCTAATCTGTGAGAGACCCTGGGTATTAACTGGGCTTAGCTACTATGCCTCTCTCATCTCCCTGTTGTGCATTTCCTATTTCCAGGAAGCAATTATAAAAAGCAAAAAGGTAGGGGCTGCTCTCAGCTATAAACCAGATCTGGATAAAGAGTAAAATAACTGTATTCTGCAATGCTTTGATCTGTGTTACAGTGGACCACATTCTCTATAGAAGTGAGAGACATATATAAATATTTCTGAAAGTATTCCAAACTACATTTATTTGAATAGGCTTATACATGTATTTAATTTTATATTTAACCATTAAGGTCTGAACTGGATACTTCATTTCCATTATGCTTTGCGGTGTCTTATGGAAGAGAGATGGTAGACTTAGAGAATCTCAAAGATCTTTTTCAATTATTCCAGAATGTAAACCACCTGACTTAACTGTCTAACCCTCCATACCACAGAAAAGGAAGAGAGATGACTTAAATCATAAAGCAACCGTGTTTATAAACTCTTGCACTAACCAACAAGTATAATTCTAATTCCATAACCATTTGGCCTTCTTCCATATATACATGGAAGACGTGTTAATGTAACTGCTGGTTATAGTGTTTAGATGCTTTCATAGGAAGCATCAATATAATGTATTGAGACTATGTATCCAAATACAGATAAATCACCCCAGTGTGTGAGTCTATACTAGTTTATAAAATTATTCAGTGATCTGAAAAACAAAGGCTAAGAAACAAAGCAGGAAAATGAGTTCCTTGATTACATATAACATTTGGCTGGTTTAATAATTCTAAGAAGTGATTTTTTTTTTACAAGTCACTACATTTAATTTAGGGTATAGTATGTCCTTTTGTTCTTTTTTTGGCAGTACTGAAGGATGAATCCAGGGATGTTACCAAGCCACATTCCCAACCTTTTTCTAACTTTGAGACAGGGGCTTGGCTAAGTCTCTAAGCCATTCAGGCTGGGCTTGTTGCACTTTCAATCTTTCTGCCTAAGTCTCCCAGCGTGCTGGGATTACAGGCAACCATGTCAGGCTTTTATGCTTTTTTAATGTAAAATGTGCTAAAAATGGTACCTGGAAACTCCAATAATAATCCTTACAAAGGCCAGGGATTTAGCTCAGTAGTTCCACTGCATGCCTTGCAAGTGCAAGGACCCACCTGAGTTCGATCCGCAGTAACAACAACAAAAAGTCATTACGAACTATGCCTTCCTAGAATTATAAAAATGTGTTTCAATCACATCACTGGCTATATTAAATCTTGCTGAAGGGGAGGGTCATCTTTTTATAACATTTTATGGCTAATGTATGAAATTAACACAGATTATAAATTTGCCTTAGTTTTGATGATAGTTTTACTTGTATTCAAAAGTTGAAATGCACGCGACTGCTCTGAAGGCAGAGACTTACGCAGCAATTCTGCTTCTTTGAATTCCCAGCACCTGGTTCAGCACACAATCACTACTACTTCGATGTTTCTGGGTCTTTCACATTTTCCCATACACAGGAAGAGGCTGGTGTCTACCGTCCTGATGTGAAGGTGCGGAGCTGTAGTAAGTATGCACCTTATAAGGGGCTGGGAGAAGCTTGGGGCATGGAGAGAGGTGCTCCAATGGGGCCCCATCTGGCTATCAGCCATAGTTATCTTCACACAGACATACAGCTGGGCTACCTGAAATGGCACCTTCCATTTTATTTTTTTTAAGTAGAAATTTATAAATCTTAAAACATCCTATAAAGTTAATATAGAAAATATAAGTGATTAGGCCATTTAACTTTCTTTTCTAAATAAACTGAAAGATAAAGAACACAACACTTTATAGACACTGTATTTCTCTCTTCCTAACCTGGAATCTTACACAGTTTTATTTATAAAGGCAGTGTTAAAGGCTTTAAAAAGCATTTAAGCACTTTCTATTTTAAAGCCCTACACTAGCATCTTTCATTTTAGTTTTCCAAACTAGGCAAAAAGTAAAAGGAATGTGTTTTTATGAGTAATTCCTTGAATGGCACAAGGAATTTAAACACATGAAATCAGGTACTATGATCTTTTTACTTTCTTATCTAAATCCAAATCTGGACGGGCGTTTGGCAGTGAGAGGGTAGGAGATGGCACCAAGGAGAGGGAGACAGATATTCTCAATAGTGTGGACAGTTTTCTTGCTTAAACTGGGTGGTGGGTAGATCAATATTCACTACCTTATACTTTTACTTTTCTTTATACATTAAGTATAAAACTGAAACTAAGTATTATATCCATAGTTTCATTTTGCTTTACATACTGGGCAAACACCAAACCATTTACTTCAAGCACACTTAAAAATATATAGAGAAATCTTTTATTACAGCAAACTTAAGTATTAGAATCCCCCAACAATAGAAATTGACCCCTTACCTCTCTGATTATTCTTATTTTCAAAAGTCTGCATTACAAATTAAGTGCTGGTTCTAATTCCAAAGTGTGATTATAGCAATATATGACTGGCACAACTGTAACATGCCACACATAAAGTATCCCCCACTGAGAAATTACCTCAATTTCCTGTAACTGCTCCTGATTGGTTGTGTACATTTGCTGGAGAGAATCTTCCAACTCTGTGTTCCGATCCAGTAATGTCTTCCCAAGCTCAGCAGCAAGCTGGAGATCTAGCACAACAAATGAATCTTAGAATAATCCAAAGGAGTTTATTTCGACATTTTATATCTCAGTCCTTAAGATAAGAAGGAACCAGGTCCCATCACATATAGTATAAGTCAGGTCCCAATGGTAAACAGAATGATCCAGAAAGGAAATCCGAGTTCTAGGGACAAGGGGAAAAAATGAGAACCAAGACCTGTCATGTAAAGGTACAAGATCCCAATGATGAATGTAACTGTACTGTATGCCTAAACTGTACCAATAAACTCAATGAGAGAAAAACAATTTTTAGTTTAACCGGGGTCTTCTAGCAGATGAAGTACTCTCATATACCCTTACTTGTAGGAAACAGAAAGACAGCAATCCATTTTTGTGGACATGTAGTCATCAGTTCAGGAACGATCATTTAGTACTGTGTCTTCTAAAATCCAGTATTTGCCAATGGGATGGACTCATCAAATCCTGACAATCTACTTTTCTGGATGGACCTTTACATCAGAGTACCAGCAGGTCTTTCAATAGTCTCTAAAGTTCCCATGAATCCAGCTGCTGTGACTACAATGCTCAAAGCAAAATTTGTTATGTATTAGACTCCAAATGGGACTAAAATTTTTTTTTTGGGGAAAGGGTCTTCCCATGTAGTTCAGATATAGCCCAGGCTGGCCTCAAATTTGCAGTGATCATCCTACCTCAGCCTCCCAAATGCTCGCATTACAGTTGTGCACTACCACACTGGGCAGGGAATAAAACTTAAGAAAAGAAAAAAAATGCATCAATAGTAAGAAAATTACCCCAAGTATTTTTTTATCATGTTACTGCCCAAGATGAACCAACCAGCTAGGCAAAGCAGCAATATTTTTTAAAAATTCGTATTACAGAGCCGGGGATTTAGCTCAGTGGTTCCGCCACCTGCCTCACGAACACAAGGACCCAAGTTCAAGCCCCAGTACCAAAAACAAAACAAAACAAAAAACAAACAAACAAAAAATATTACATTTAGTATAGAACCGTATTTTATTTTAAACCCAATTTTTCATTTTTGTTTTTTTTTTTGGTAGGGGGGATCGAACTCGCGGCCCCACGCTTGCCAGGCAGGCGGCAGAACCACTGAGCTAAATCCCTAACCCTCAACTCTCTTTTTAAGTATATATGTACACAAGACAGGGTTTGTTTATATTACACACAATTCCAGAAATGAAAATTTAGTAAAAATACAAAGGTGACACTAGTTGTAACATAGGTAAACTGAAATACTTATCTGTACAACAAATTTTATGGCCCTTTGATACGGCAGGAAATGCACTAACCTCTGAATAGGAGGGCCTGAGGGCCAGTCTTAACTACCATTTACAAGAACACTTAAGTGAGGTGACTTTTAAAGTTATCCATACTTTTTGTTTAGAGAAATGACAGCTTTATCAATGTAAGAGTGTAAAATCAAATGAAATATACAAGATAGCATTTTACAAAGTAAGCTCCAATATGGAGGCAAAGTATTGCAGGAACTCACTGACTGATGAATGAATGCTTTCATTGTTAGGCACTTTCTAAGCTCTGGCTATAAAATGATGCATGGAGGGGACGAAGTTCCTGCCTTGCTGACAGTCCCAGACTAGTCGGGGAGGTCAGACAGCAGACCAGCAACCCAACCTGTGCCGAAAAGGTGCTGAAGCAGTAAGTGCTGAAGAGAACAAAGCAAGAAAGGGATAGAAGAGAAATGTGGCTGTCCGAGATTCAATTTTTTTTCCCCAGTAGAGGGAGATTCAATTTTTTTTTTTTTTTTTGGTTCCAGGGATCCAACTCAGGACCTTGCACTTGCCAGGCAAGCAAAGTGCCACTGAGCCATCCTTGGCCCAGGAGACTGAAATTTAAAAACATGTGACATTACAGTCAAGATGTATGTAATGTAATGGATAAATGACCTGTCTTAGTGTCTAGGGGAGCCACATTACAGGCAGAAGCAAAACAAGTACAAAGTAACTGGAAAGAGGCGTGACAGGCACTGACAGGGGGTCTGATGAAGCTGGTGCAGGAGGGGAGTTAGCATCAGGTGTGGTGGTGCACCCTGAAATCCCAGCACTCGGGAGGCTGAGGCAGTAGGGTCACCGTGAGTTCAAGGCCAGCCTGTGCTACACAGCAAGACTCTGGCTAACCACCTACCTACACCTACACACACACACACACACCCCACCAGTTGAAGGCCAGCGTGTGCTACACAGCGAGACTCTGGCTAACTACCTACACACACACACACACACACACACACACACACACACACACACACACACACAGGGGCCCCAAGGCTGGCCAACCTGGGTAGAGCCTAAATGGAGAGGTCAGGATTTTGGCTTTTACCCTAAATGGGATGGAACCCAGGGGAACTGGCTGCCATTAAACCAACTACCGTGACAAACCAAGCACTGTGACAGAAGGGTTAGACTATAGCGGCCTAGACCATAGAGCAGAGACACAGATGGGGAGAAGGGGCAAGATTCGGACATATTTTAAAAGTAAAGCTGCCAGGCTCTGTTGACTACCCTGATATGGAAAAGGAAAGAGGGTAGGGGAAATATCTGAATTCGGTGATGATGAAGGCCCATTTTGCATCATGAAATTTTTTTGGGGGGGGGGCATACGCCAAATCTCCAGCCCTTAAAGGCCCGTTTGGAAAGGGAGGTAACAAGAAGGGTCTCTGTGAAGGTTCAATTTAGCTTTGGTTTGAAGCATAAGAATGTCACCAAGAAAGAGCCAGGAGAGAGCTTGGCATAACCTACAATGGCAAGCGGCTCAGTTTTTCAGATGTGGAAACCTGAAGCACAAAGCTATTGAGTGGGCGGATTAAATCTACCAGATGAGTCACAGGCAGGGCAGAAACTACTGCCAACAGGCTCTCGCTCTCATCACGATTCTTACCATCCACCGTCCCTCAGTTTAAGGGTACTGAAAGGGCTAGCCTTGTACTTCTTTAAGGTGGAGGGCACACATTTTCCTGGTTGAGGTACTTAACCTTTTCCCATTGTTTTCATGGACGGCAGTGAGAAACTAGCACTCAACTACCTGAGTATCTGTTGCCAGCTCTGCTGGTGAAAAGCAACTACAACCCCAAAGAAGTTACTATCTTGTTTTCGCCAGATGAAAAAGCATGAGTGTATGGGTGGAGATGAAAGAGTTGTTTTGCACTCACAGGTGTGTGATGTATATACGCGTGTATACAGAGACCCACACAGAAACCAGTACCCTGTCTTAAAGGCAAGCATACAACACCACGGAGATATCGCTCCAGCCTTTCCTCTGGCCCGCTCTGCAGTGATGAGTAAAGTAACTCTTCACCGGAGAGGACTGGAGACTCGGCAGGCAGGCACCGCGCACTCGCAGTCAAACTCCTGGCGGAAACCTCTTCCAGAATCAAAATGATCTGAGATCATCATCAACCACTTTCATCCAGTTACAAAACTACTCATGCCACTCCTGGCAGCCAGGACATCTTTCCTGCCCCTGCTGCTACCCAGAGAGGTCAAGTGCAGCGCTTCAGTAAACAGCAAATGAAGAAAGAATGTGAGACTCTTCCTTATCATCCTCCAAGTTTCCAGTTGAACAAAGCTAGCCTGTCTCGTCTCCTAAATATTTCACTGGACATTTAGAACTCTAGCAAGTCAAGTCTCAAGTGCAGGAAAGTGCCTGTGAAGTCACACTACTTGTCTCACAGGACATTACTTCTTCTGTTTAAAGACAACAGACTTTTTTTGGTCTTAAAAAAAAAAGTTCATTTCCTGCAGCATCTGGCTTCTAGAACCAAAGAGACAAAAGCTGGCAGTAAGCCCAAGAAGGTTTTCTAAATAATTAGTACAGGCAACAGGAGAATGTTGAGTGTCCTTTATTTATATTTTTAATAAAGGCACACACAAAAAAGAAACAGTATAGTTTCAAGGCTTAGCAGACCTGTTTGCCTGTATTTTACAATAAGGATTTTTATTACATCGTTTTCTAAATCCTACTGAACTGGTCTGCCTTAGGCAGACACTAAAAATATCATAGATTTATTGCAGACTGGAGAACTGCAACATATCAGTACCCTCATATGTTTGATATTCTTTCCACCAGTCTTTGCAAGTAATATTCTATTTTAATGGTATAAACTGTTAAACACATATTTACTCAGTCCTACCTATGCCATGGACAAAAAAATTAACACTAGCAGTTGAGGGGCTTTTAAAAGGACCTTTCCTCCAGAATTTTGAAATCTTTAAATCCCATTTTACTTTAGCATTTCCTTTTTTTTTTAAATTTTTGAGACAGGGTCTTGCTATGTTGTTCAGGCTGGTCTTGAACTCACAGCAATCCTCCTGCCTCAGCTTCCTGCTGGGATTACAGGCATGCCCACCTTCAGCTTCTTAAAGAAAAAAAGTGAGGACAACATATTCCCATGTTAGCTGTAGCTTGTAGCAGTGTTTTAACATTAAGGCTGAAAGCTTTTCTTATTACAAAGTCAAATGCGTCATTTGGTGACGTTTCTGTTTAACTCTTGTTGCCAACATTACTATAACTGGGAATGCAAAAAAACCTGACTATAAACATCAAGAAAAAAGATGGTGTCTGTTTTTAATGACCTCCAAACAGTCATTTGGCAAATTAGGTGCACATGAGCAAGATGTACTTATCTTGGAAAGAAATGTTAGGACTCAAGTAAAATTTCACTTGCTGATCCATATACTCAAAACCTGAATACTTATTCTATGCCTGCATGGCTCACTAAATGACAATTATAGTAGCAGCCAGCCTAAAAGAAAAATTCAGCCTCTGAAGTCTCTCTGCCTTGTTCTCAGGGGCACGTTTCAAAGCAAGCACTATCATTACCTGAACAGAAGGCTCCTGCTGTCCCAGAAAAGATCTTACCCACAGAGATTATTGTCAGTATCCCTACTGTGCCAGCTCAGCCCTCTCACAAAAGACAGTTTCTTCATCAAAGTGTTTTGAAAGCAAAGGGCTTTTTCTTGCCTGGACTCAGCTTTACATGTTTCTAACAAGGTATGAACAGGACACCAGAGTCTACTGAGGTTAGAATTTTTCTCCAATTTTAATTTAATCAAGAATGTCCTACACAGAAAGTGAGAGATATTGCATTGTTTCACATATAAGAGAAACCCAAAATAGTAAAATACAGATAGACTTTTTGGACATAGGGAGAGGGAATGAGAGAAAGGGGAGAGGAGGAAGGGTATAGAGAGAAAGAGGATTAGCAATGATCAAGATATGATATATACGTACCATTACCCTAAAATGAATGTCAATATAGGGCCTGGGATATAGCTCAGCGGTTCGGTGGCCTGCCTAGCAAGCGCAAGGACCTGAGTATTATGTATTCCAAACATATACAAAAAAAGTCCTAGTAAACTTTGGCACAAAGGATTCCATTACTTAAAAAGTTTAGTAATCATAAGTTTTTTTTGTTATTGCTGTTGTTTACTTGGCCACAGGATCTTATTATGCAGCCCGGGCTGGCCTTGAACTCTCAATCCTCAAGCCTCAGCCTTCTGAGGGCTAGGACTGCAGGCATGTGCCACCATGGTCAGTTTACCAGTCATAAGGTTTTGAGGACAAGACCTTCAAAAGTTTTAAGGCACTGTCTCCAAAAAAGCGTCACTCAGTGGTAACAGGTGAGGATGGTTAAAAAAAAAAAAAAACAAAAACAGATTCCTGCACACAATAAAATACCACCTGTGCTGCTTAATCAAGCTGAAAATGGGACAGACCTGTTCCCAAACTTTACTGACAGTAAATGCCTACTAAAGGCCCGCGATGTACCAAACAAGTAGTGGTGACACGTCAGGAGGCACCAGCTGCAGTCTTCTCCAACGAACACATTCCTAGGACTGAACTCCTTCGTAGGAAACGTGACAACCTATCGTACCTGTGGCCAGCTGGGCACAGTGGCCCAGAGCCTGGGTGAATGTACGAACACCTGGCTCACAGTAGAAGACACCCTTCTGAGAAAGGAATGAATTTTCAAATCTGTTACAAGTTTAGCCCCAGGCTGAGGGTGCAGCTCACTGGTAGAGAACTTGTCCAGCATGTGCTAGGGCCTGGGGTCTACCCACAGCATCACTAAAAAATAAAGTTTAGCTCTTTTCATTTGGCAAAACTGGGGAAAAGAGGCCCTTTATCCACAATGCAGTCTCCATGCTTTCACAGATCCACAGATTGCATCCACACGTTTTGACTGTTGGAATTTCACATTTTCTAGGCTTACCCCGCACAGCTGGTTACGATATAGAGTCTGTCAAAGTCCACTGTGGTAATGCACGTTAAGAGCCTTTTGAACAGAACAGGACAAATTCCAAGCACAAAGTGGCAGTGAAGAGGTTCAGAGGTCCTTCAAGATTTGTCCAACTGGATGACCCGGTGACTTAACTTTGGTCGGAGGTTAAGGGGAATTACCCATGTAAGCACAGTGCACTTGCTTCTCAGGTGGTTCAGGTGGTTCCTGGTAACTTCCCACAGGGCCAGAGCAGTATGGACTAAAGCACCTACCTAGTAATGCAGGAGGGCCATGATAACGTAACTGCATGTTTCAGTTCAGTTAGAAAAAAAAAGTGAAATAAGCATCTATTGTGACATGTTAAATATGTTAGACGAAGAAAATTCAGAAAAATAAAGTACCTATCTAACCTCTATACCCTTAAAGATTCCGTGTACCTCTTAAATATAGGAAAAATATAGCTTTGGTTGTAGAAAGTGTTTCATTTACTACAGGAAAATGCTGCAATTACACTGTGGTTGCCTCATTAATAAAGTTATCAAAATGAGCCATCAATCCCTAGGGGGCAAATCAAAAATATGTTTAGGGGTACGACAAACATGTTGTGTAGTGAAAGAATAGGATCCAGTTTGCTGCAACCGCTAAATCGCTTCACAGTCAGCCACTTTGGTTTAAGTCATTGCATATTAATTTAAGAAATCACCTTTGCCCAAAAGAGGCACTTGGTTTTTGTTTTTCCTATTTTAACTATGAGTCATTCAGCCAGGAGTGCTGGCGCACGCCTGTAATCCCAACACTGGGAAAGCTGAGGCAGGAGGATCACCACAAATTCAAGGCCAGCCTGGGCTACATACTGAGTTCAAGGCCAGCCTGAACTGCACAGAGGCCCTGCCTCAAAAAAACAAAAACATAACTATGAGTCATTCATGTCAACATTGCCCCCCCACGTTCAACAATAGTATAAACATGCAAAGCAATCATTCAATATTCAACTAAATGAGGTGTTCATTTTCACTGCAAGTTTTAATAACTGATTTACTGACTCACAGGAACATAAGATGCTTGGAAATTTTGCTGAGGATTATTCAGCATACCTAGTAGTTCAGAATGACTGTCCTGTAGCTCCACATGGACTCCTGACTCCCACAACAGTACACTATCTACTTCTACCAGTAACTAGTGTTAAGAGTCTGCCGACATCATCCAGTTTTATTGGGAGATTTAAATGCGCATCTAGTGTTAAGGGCCAACTCATGTCTGACGCATAAAAAGCATCCCGTAGGCCAGGCGTGGCGCACACCTGTAATCCCAGCACTCGGGAGGCTGAGGCAGGAGGATCGCTGTGAATTTGAGACCAGCCTGGGCTACACAGTGAGTTCCAGAGCACTCTGAACTACATAGTAAGACCCTGTCTCAAAAAACAAAAAACAAAACAAAAGCATCTCCTAAATGCAAGCTCCTGCTATTAATATGCGGGGGTGGCCGGCAGAGACTCCAAATTAAGGGCTGCCCTAAAATTGTTCTGGACACTATAAGCAAAAAAGCCAAGGCAAGGCCAATTTTCAGCTGAAAGCTAGAGTACAAACTGAAGTGGCAAAGGTATAAATCATTTCACTCACACTTAGTGAACTATACGTACAAGCAATCACACACACACACAATTTAACACCCAAGTGAAAAAGCTGCAAAGTAGGATGGCGTGGAAGAGGTAGCTGTTGCCTTAGCCTCCTCATTCTGAGTGCGACTCGAAAAACTTACTCCCACACTTAGCTTCAAACAAGGCCCTTATCAGCTTGGCCTCTGCTTTCCTCACCTGGAAAATGGGACAAACTGCTCTCTCGGGGTGATGCCGCGTGGTAAGCGAGAGAAGACGGGCAAAAGGCTTCCGACAAGGCCGCCTCCCGCCGCGGCTCTCGGTCTGCGCTGGCCGCG